TTATGTCTAAAAATGTATAGTTTCATGCATCGGTTAAAACACTCGACTCCAGCTACATGACGCGCAGCTGAAAACACTTCCTGCAAGACGAGCTGCCCGAGATTCCCAGAATTTACAGAAAATGTTACATTTTTGTGATTTATCGGGATGATAGAATTCTTATATCGGGATATGAGATTTTGGTCATATCGCACAGCCCTACTGCAGTGTACTAACTAACAGTTAGTAACACTAATATAGTGTGACTACTCCAAGTCAGGGATGTCAAACATAACACCTGGGCCGTAATCAGCCAAGCAAAGACTCCAATCTACCCCACTAGATGTCTTTAAAAAATGTGAAGGAGGACATAAATTTTGGATCTTTAGCTGTATTATTATCCTACTGATTAAGACCTCCACCACAGCCATTCATATACACCAAAGAAAATTTGTTTGTTTGTTTTTTTCAATTATGTACAACAAAAATTTATTTTACACATACACTATACGAATGAACAGAATCTTTCTGCTTTATAATCACAGAAAACTTGGTATTCAGCTGTCAGGACCTTTTCTGTAATTTTCCAAAATAATATTATATAAAAATAAATATAAAAATACTGCGATGCAAGCTGTTATCAGAGACTGTACTGACAAAAATGAATACATGAAACAGTAAACTTCTATCAACATTAACCAACACAAAGATGAAGGTAGAGGAAAAGATTGATTTCTTGCAAATACCGATCGTTAAAACTGTGTCACTTAAATTATTTTACATTTTGATGTTTTAATCTTTCTTTTAACTGACAGTGATATTAGCTCCCTGACATTCATGTGCTTGCACAATTTGCAGTAATGCAGAGAGAAAGAGACAGAATATCAACCAAAAATCCACCAAAAAAAGACTATGAATCAAGTGAATCAAGTATTAAATCTCCAAGCAAAACATGAATAAGTACTTGGTAGAGAAACCCTTGTTCGTAAGGAAAGCCATAAGACATTTCTTGTTGGTCTCACATCATTTTTAGAGGCATCTTAGCCCACTCCTCTTTACAGAAAATCTCTAAACCCTTCGGATTTCCTGGCTGCTGCTTTTCAAATCGAAACTTAAATTCCCTCCACACATTTTCTATTAGACTGACATCTGGCCGCAACACTCACTCCCAGGACTTCTCTGAATCATTTTATATCACTGAAAAACTTAAGACGGACCAGTACATGAGCGTTCTTGAGCAAGGGGATGTTGTGTGCACTGCAAGATTTCTAGACATTATGTGTTACCAGTTGCTTTGTACACATAGTTGAGATGAGGAGAATGTAACTGACTGACTGATTGTAATCTGGCTGAGTTAATGCGAGTTGCACACAATGACATGCAAATCAATTTATAACATTTATGCAGTGCGTTTCAGGTTTATTGCAATGTTTGTGCAATATCGCTAAATTAGAAACATCCTGTCTCAGAGTGAAATAAAGAACGTGGCAGAACTACTGTAATTCCTTATCAGAATGTCCTAAAAATGTCCCAGATAAGCCTTCAGTCGATCAATGCTGCATTTGGACAAGAACGAGAAAAAGAGAGCATACTTCTCCCATACTGGCTTCTCTTCATTGGCTCCCTGTTAAATTCACTGAATCAATCATATTTAAAGTCCTTCTCACATACAAGGTCTTGAATAACAAGGACCTTATAGTGCCGCACCATCTCAATAGGGCACTTTGCTTACTGGAGGTTCCAAGAGTATTTCAAAGTAAAATGGGAAGCAGCTCCCAGTTTGGATCCAGGAGACAGACACGCTCTCTACTCTTAAATTAGGCTTAAAACTTTCTTTTTTGATAAAGCATATACTGTAATTGTCAGGCTATAAGCCGCTACTTTTTGCACAAGCTTTGAACCCTGCGGCTTTTAGTCAGGTGCGGCTTTTCTAAGGATTGTCCATGATTTTTGTCATATCGTAAGACGATGTGTTTTATTTGTTCCGCTGTTGTACGGCACTACGTTGCCTGGCGGAAGGGCAAACTTCAAAGCAGCGCTACACGTTCAGCGGGAGGCGTGGATGATGAGCGGCGATAAACTTGCAAAAAGCAAGTTATGCTCAACTCCACCGGTGGAATCTGACAGCGTGGAAAAGTGTGAAAACATCCATGATCACCAACGGATTTCGAAGGGCTGGACTGCTGCATGATGGAGAGCAGGACACCGCCACAGCCCTTCTGAGGGTGTTCGACTCTGACACTGACAATGAGGATTTGTTTGGTTTTGAAAGTGATAACGAAGGAGAGAAGCAGAGAGTGGATGACGTAGCCATCCTGAGCCTGTTCGTATCCGACACTGGAGAAGAGGACTTTGGTGGTGAATGACTGACTTTTCTTCTTGTTAAAGCCGTGTCACTGCACCTGAGCCTAAAAGGTAGTCCGAATCTATTTTTCTGGTGTGCTGTAGGTTATTGTTATGTACTACATTTGTTACTCATTTATGAAGCACAGTACATGTTTCGTACTTGTAATTACCGCTACTTGTACATATACCTAAAAAGTTATGCAAACATGTACCCCTAACTTGTTTTCAAAATATTAATAAAAGGGATGTGTCTCCAAACAGCCATCTCTTTCCTGACAACTCCCTTTGTGCATATTCTCTTACATATGATAAGTCAACATTGAAACACCTGCGGCTTTTAGTCAGGTGCGACTAATGTATGTACAAAACAGGATTTTCCCCTGATTTTAGCTTGTGCGGCTAATATTCAGGTGCGCTTTGTAGTCCGGGAAATACGGTAGTTAGAGCAGGATCAGGTGACCCTGAATCCTCCCTTACAGTCCAACAAGCCAAGGCTGTTGGGGTGCTTCCCATAATGCACTAAGCATTGCAACTTCATACACCTCTTTCCACTCTCCATTAGCCCTTTTCCACTAGTACCTACTCCATTCTGTTCAACTCAGTTTTTATGGTAGCAGTACCTGGTGCCAGGCACTTTTTTGGTACCTGCTCGCCTGTGTTCAAAGCTGAGTCCATCTGAAAATCTGACCTCAACAGACCACATGCCACCGATTGGCCAGTCAATGGCATCACTTGATGATAGTGGTGCAACGGATCAAAAATCTCACGGTTCGGATCGGATCACGGTTTTAAGTCACGGATCGGATCAGCAAAAAAAGAAAAAAGACAAAAATTTAACATTTACTTATTTACTTATTGAAGTAATTTTTGCCCTGTTAAAAACATTCAACTCAAGACTCATTCCACACAATTATAAAAGAAAATTATGGTTCACCATATGGCAGTATAGGGCTTTGTATCTACCACTCAATTCAATTCAATTTTATTTATAAAGCGCCAAATCACAAAAACAATCGCCTCAAGGCGCTTTATATTGTAAGGTAGACCCTACAATAATACATACCGCTCATTATATCGCACTCCGTTGTGATATAATGAGCTGTCACGGTCACGTAGCTTTCCGTTGCCCTGGAGGTCCACCCATTTGTAGTAGTTAGGGCAACAGAAGATGCCTGGGACAGTTCAGCCATAACTTTAAACTTTTCCTGCTCATACATGCTTGGAACGATCTTGCCACTAAAGTGGACGTGCAACGGGATATCATAGCGTGGCTCAAGCACGTTCATCATAGTTTAAACCCCTTGTTTTGCACAACGGAATACGGCCTCCAGTCTGCAGCTAAACACCCCAATAGTTTTTATAATAGCTCAAATCTTCGGATCACGTGTGTGGCGAACCGTGGAGTGGGATCGGTTCGGATTACGGATCAACCGTGATCCGTTGCACCACTACTACGACTAATTAGAGCGACTTCTTCACAAACATCAAAACTCTAATTTTTCAAACCCAGCAACAAGAGAAAGACCTACACAAAACCAACACCGTTAGCCCGAGTCTGACAAAAAGGGCATAGACGGAGCAGCAGGTATATCATCCCCTCGACAACCGTCCTTTGTTGTGTTGTTTGTGTCATATACACGTAACGTTAGGGCTGCTCGATTATGGCAAAAATGATAATAACGATTATTTTCACTGAAATTGAGATCTCAATTAGTTGACGATATTTATTTAACAATAACAATGTATTGAATAATGACTTTAAAGATTGTCAAAAAATAATATAAAATAGTGTGCAAATACTGATAACAGTACAAATGTTTGCAAAATAAAAAATAAATGAAAAATGTAAACATCTATGTTTAGTGAACTTTGCAGTGTTGCTCTGTGGTGCAGCTAC